AACTCAGACACATTGGCCTAATCTCCTTGGGTCTCCGTTTTTCTTTTTGTAAAATGGACATAATAGTACCTATCTTCAGGCTTGTTTTGAGAATTACATGAAAGTGGAATAATGAACATTAGTTGAGTACAAAATGGAGGCCCCCATACCATTGCCCAGATCACTGAGCCAGTTACTAGCCAAAAGCGAACTAGAACCACTCTTGTCTTCTGACTCCCAATTTGGCAATATCCTCCTTCTCCCTCCCCCAAGCCCTTTGTTCTGTGGAGTAATCACCTGCCAGTGATTGCCACTGGTTGTGAAGAAGATAAGTATGAGAAAGTATGGATGGCCCAAGGAAGACTTGCCTGCATTAGATTGAGAATGGCAGCCTACTAGAGATGGCTCAGTGCTTCTAGGCCAATATGAATTGCACACTATTCTCTGGCATAGGTGGAAATGCAGTATTCTAAGGAAATGACACTTGGTATTAAGCAGCAACACTACTAGATTACAGGAAGAGATGATCCTGCCATGCTGAGCCTTGGTTACAGAGCAGGTTCAGCAAATATGTACTAAATTCAGCCACCATCCACATCCACCCGTGGTCTCCATCAGTCATCAATCCCAGTCTTCTTTTCTATTGATTCCTGATCGGGACTCCGAATCCTTCCATTTCCTATCAATCAACTAGTGTGGTCATTCATTCAATAAACATTGGCCAAGCACCTAAATATGTGCTAGGTACTGAAGATTAAGTCAGAAGTCGCCTTGACTTATAAAGCTTATATCCTGTCATTCCAGATGCAATCTGGTTGCCATCCAGGTTTCTAACCCTCCTGTGCTCCATGCTTGGAATTAGTGCAGGATGATAGTACAGGCAGAGGTTTTGAAATTGGGGAAGCCAGTGTTTGAATTTGGCTCTGCCACCACAGTAGATGCCTAGTAATGTTGTATCCAGTACTCTTTATCTGGGAATGGGGTCTTCCTGCTGTCGGGGAACTGCCTCTCCCCTGCTCCATGATGTTTGGCCACACACGATTGAGTTTGCATCAGGCTTGGTCAGTCATAGTATGCCTTTACCCTTGGCCAGAATAGAGGTTAGGCATGTGATCCAATCCAGGACAAGATGAAAAAAAATTGTAGGTTTGAAACTGGGAACTCTTTCTTGAGATAATACAAAACTAGGGCTCTCAGTAGCCATGTCTGTACCCTCCACCCTCCCCTTAGAAAGAAACTTTCTGTGGGGGCGGGGTGGGGGAGATGTAGGGAGGGCAAGTCACAGAGGAAAGCAAAGAAGAGATGGGGTAGAGATGGAGAGGGAAATGGAGGTGGATCATAGACACAATAACAGCCTTGGAATCAACCAAGACTAGACTGGACTCCCCTGGACTGCCAAGTGACACCAGGCAATGAATTCCCTTTGCTTCAAGCTGGTGATCCTGACCTCTCAGACAGAGGCAGTAGATCCTGACCTCTGTCCTGGAGGAGAGAATAAGCATATTTCTGTAGAGAGGAAGCAGGCTTCCTGAAGAACAACTCCAACTGTCTCTATACCCAATAAACGTTTAAAAGGGAGCCTGAACACACATCTTGTCACGTGTTTTCCTTTGAGCGTACATCTGAAGTGAACGTGTTCAGGATGGTCCTCCCTTGTGGTATGTAAGTCCCCACAGGGCCTGGGATTTGTTGCTCCCATATTTTTCCTCCAGCTACTGACGGTAATATTCATCCTTTTATCTTTGTAGGGTGCATTGTGCTTTGAAAAACACTTCCATCTACATTATCTCATTTGATTCTCAGGGCATCTGTGAAAAAGACAGGGTGGGGATTACTATTCTTGCCTGTCAGATTGAAAAACGGAGGCTCAGGCCCTGGGATCTCGGAACCTAAAAAGAAATACAGACAGTGACCTCACAGGGAATGAATGGCACAGAGGTGGAAAAGATCACTGGATCTGGAGCTGGGAGGCACAGACATGAGACCTGGCTCTCTTACTTACTAGCTGTCTGACTGTGGGCACATCACTCAGACCTTCCCAGGCTCAGTTTTTCAGTCAGATATATAGGGATGATATTTTCCTTCAAGGATTCTTGTGACTATCTCAGGAAATGATATAGAACAAAAGGTTAGCGAGGTATACAGTGCCACTCACCTGTCTGGGGTTGATTTCTATGAGTGATGGGCAGTGGTGTGCTGAATTCAGCTAGTCTAGGCTCACCAGAGCTGTGGGGCACCCCCACACAATAAATGACAGAGCAGGGAACTCAAAGCTATGTCTCACATTCTGTCTGATGGCCATGTGGCATATCAGAGATGCACCGTTATCACCTGTTCCTTCCTCGATCTCCAGCCTGGAATAGTGAGTGAGTCAGTCAGTTTCTAGACACTTGACACTTTGGATCCTTGTTTGGACTTCAGCATCCTAGTTTCCAAAGAAAACAGGCATGGAGAAAGATGGGGAGGAGTAAAGTACATGGAGGTGGGTGAATGAACTGACTATCTTGGAGACCTACAGGTCTGGGTCTCGGTTGGAGAAATGCTTGAGAGAACTAGAGGGTAGGCAACATCGTTAGTTGGAGCCACAGGAAGGATTTAGGCATGGAGAGGGAGAAAGGGTCCAAGCGCCCACTCCACTATGTCATCAAGCTGGGGTTCAGCTCATTCATCTGTCAGAGGAGGCAATACCCAAACTTTCCTGTTTCTGTGGGCATTGATGGGGAAAAGGATTCTGAAGGCCTCTGGAATCTATTACACTGCATGAATGCAAGAGCATTTGCATGTGTCTCGGCTGAGAACCTTTCCTCCTGTTGCTAAGAGAGAGAAGACTGTCTGTTTTCCTTTCCTGCCATCTCTGGCTCTACACGCCACCCCACCCCACCCCTTTCTTTCCCCTTCTATCTTTATATTTTGAGTACTTCATAAGATGATGTCCTGCATGCTTTAAACTAGGTGAGGGTATCATGTAGGACAAAAAAAAAAAAAGCACCTAAACAAAATGAAAATTGGTTTCCTGCTTGGCAAGATGACAGATGATGGGCTCAGGGGCTGACATTACCAATACAAGCCTTTCTGCAGGTGTCAAGAGGAACTCTTTCTAGACTCAACAAGTTACCCCTGCCAGGCCCTGGGCAGGACAGTTCCAGGATTGGGATAGCCAACCCTCCCTTCCCCCTGATGGAGCTAAGGTATTGGAGGAGCCCTCTGGAAGTTCTAGAAGTGGGGTAGATACAGTGAAGATGAAAATTAACACTTATTTAACACCTTAGGGGCCTGTATCCCCTTATTAAATACAATAATTTAATAAGAATACATATGATTATTTGTATTTTTCAGGCGAGGAAAGGGGTACTCAGAGTGGTGGGAGAAACTCACATTCAAGCTCCCAGGATACCTCCAAGTGGCCCTTCCCCCTAACTAACCTGGTAGAAGAGGAGAGGTCACTGTGGTTGTGCTGGCCAGGGAATGGAAGGGGACTTAGGAGTCTCTGATTGGTTCCCCTGCTTCTACACTTGTACCTTCCAGTGCATTCTCTGCATAACAGAGAAAACAGCCTAGGTGAGCTTTACAAATGCAAATTGTACTATCTCCAATTCCAGAACAATCACGTTCCTTTGAACTCCAGACTTCTGAGTTGAATCACCTTATCAACTTCCTCCCATAAGACCAGCCTCTCTCTCTCTGACCTCCCCCACTTTATCTTATACCACTAATGACCGTTCCTGCTGTATTCCAGCCATAGTTAGTTTTCTTCCTCAAATGCATTCAATTCACTCCTGCCTCAGGGCCGGCCTTTGCACTTGTTGTTCTTTATGTCTTTATGTCTTTAATGCTTTCCCCTTCAGATCTTTTATGCCTGGCCCCTTATCATAGAGGTCTCAGGTCATTTGCTGTCTTCCCAGTCCTTTCCCAACTGCCAGCCTTATGTCCCACCCTGGTCATTTCCTATCACATGCCACCATCTGACATTAAGTCGTTGTCATTTACATTGTCGTAGTTGTCATTACTATCTGCCAGCGTCTTGCTAATTTACTGGTTTATTTTCTGTGTCCTTGTACTAGAGACGACAAATTTCAGGAGAGTAAGGATTGCTTGCCTATCTTTTGGAAAGTCCTACCCCCACTCCATAAAATAGAGATTGTCACATAAGTAAGCACACAACAAATACTTTTGAATAGGTGAGTTGTTACTGATATATTATTATCCCAGGAGAGGTGGACCTGTGCTGGATGAAGGGAGAAAGCTATCTATCACCCAACATGTGTCAAGCTCTGTGCTTGTCTCATTTGACTCTCCGAACAACACTGAGACGTAATCTGATTCCCATTTTGCAGGTGAAGAACTGGAGGCGCCGTCATTTAGCAGTTTGCTTATGGTCACACAGCTGCGACTGGACCCCTTGTCTGACTGCTCCTGAGCCTGCATTCTAGATCTTGGAAGGAGCCGAATGTGTCTCGGGGACACGGAGAAGTCATCTGTTCCTGCAAAGCCTCGTGTGAGAAGAACGAAAGCGAGGGAGAGGCGGTGGAAAGGCACGTGCTGGCCAGGACACCAGCCGCAGCTAGGAGGGGGCTCCCTCTAAGAAACTGTCATCGCATGGCCTCAAGTCCAGACCTCCCTGGGCCTCAAGTCACAGCCAATCCCGGAAGGTGCGCCCTGCAGAATGGGGGCAAGGCGTAGGCCTCGCTGAACTCGGGGAGCGGAGGGAGCGCGCCAGCGGGCACTGAGGTCCTTCTCCCCTCGGCGGAGCTCTCATCCTGGTCAGGTCGGCTTGGACGCTGCTGCGGGCTCCCGCGTTCTGCGCTAGGTGGCGAAATGCAGCGGGGCTCCCCTATTCGGGGGAATGCGGTAGTGATGTATAAGGTATGAAAGATGTGGCCTGCAGAGAGCCGGCACTATCTCTACTGCTGCTGCTGCTGCTGCTACTGCTGCTGCCGCCGCTGCCGCCGCTGCCGCTCCTGCTGCCGGCAGAGCTGCTGGGAGTGAGCTGAGCATCCCGCGTCCGGGGTACCCAGCTCCGCGGCAGCTCCCGAGCCCCGGCCACCCCCGCAGCCGCCCCCCGCGGCCCCGCCAGCCCCAGGGAACAAAAGCGGAACTCTGTCGCCCGCTCCTGCAGCCGGAGGATGAGTCGAGAGGGCTGAGCGCAGAGTGTGGTGCTGCTCAGCGGCTGGAAGGTAGGACAGGAAGGTGTTGCGCTCGCCCGCCTGGCGCGGGAGGCTCCGGGTGGGCGCGCCGGGGTGGGGACGGCCGCGCGGACCAGCGTGTCAGCGTGTCCCGCGGGGGCTGCCCGCCCGGCCCGGCCCGGCCCGGCCAGGGGTGGTCCTGCCCGCCGCGCCCGCGCCGCCCGCGCCGCCTGCGCACCAGCACCCCCGGGAGGGCGCCGCGCCGCGCCCCCGCAGCCGCGAGGGGGGCCCCCTGGGTGGGAACTGGAGGCAGCGACGGGAAAGTCTGGAGCCCGGAGCCGGGCGCGGCGGCTGCCGAGGGGCCGCCCGGGCACTTGGAGGCGAAGAGCGGGCGGGCGGGCGGGCGGCGGCGGCGGCGGGCGCAGTGTGCGCAAAGTTTCGGGCGGCGCGGAGACGCAGGCGAGGGCCCCCGCGCAAGTTGTGGCCGCACCCCAGGGCGACCGCCCGGGGGGCCCGCACCCCGCGAGGACTCGCGGACCCCGGGACGAGCGCGTCTTGCTCCCCTCCCCACGCTAGCCTAGGCTGGGCTGACGCGCAGCCACTTAACCCTTCCCAGCCCAGGGGGACAACTTCATCCTCTTAGAGGTGGCTGGACCCAGGCCGGCTGGGCAGCGTCGGGGGTTCCTGGCTCTGTGCTTTTTGTGGTCTTGCGCATTTCCCCACTCGTTCTGGCTTTCTGGGATTTTCTGTCCACCACCGCGTCCAGAAACCAGAGGGGGTGGCTGCGGGTCTAGGCTGCGGGTCTAACCTGCCCACCCCCCGCCCCCCCTCCCCCTGCCCCGCCGCCCGTCTGTAATTTTTACCCCTCGCACCACCTGGACACATGTTTTCTCTCTCCCCGCTCAGTTGGGCTCTTTGATGCTGCCTTGAAAAATGAGATGATTAATCAATTAGGTTAGTGGCCAATTAGGCATAACCTTGTAGCAAAATAATTATGCCCGGCTCTCTGGGCTTTTTCACTGGTGATGAGATGGGAATCCGGCCCAGGTGGAGGGGCTGTTCCGAAGAGATATGGCTGATCAGGAAATTTCTGGGAATTTAAGATTCTTTTTTTTTTTTTTTAAATCCAAATTGTTCCGGTGGCGGTAGAGGTTGTGGGGGATTCAGTAGGGCTGTGAGTGTGTGCATCAATTTCCCCCACCCTGAGGAAATTAACCCTCTGCAGCACAGTCTAGGTGGACTTTGCAGGCAGCATGTTTCCAACAGCTCAGAAAAGGTGTGTCCCCTGCTTGCCAGCCCCATCCCCCTCGTCTCTGAGGGGCTCTCGCCTGGAAATCGCCTCACAGTGGCTTTGCTGCTGTTTTGGGAGGCTGAGTTCCGATGAATGCATTTTAGTTTCACGTCCGAGGAATCGCGTTGTTGCAGAAGGAGGTTCTAGTTCTGTGCCTTCTGAGGATGCACATTTCCCCTGCTCTTGCTACATAAAACGGTCATTAAATGGGTGCAAATGCAAGACAATCTGTTTCCAGGGCTGGGAAGTTCTGCTGCTAAGCGGGGCTTCCTTTTTCTTTTTTGGAATGACTGGCGGGGTTTGGCACTGCAGTATTACAATACAGCCATATTAAAAAGGTCTTCAGAGCTTAGAGCCCTCCACCACTGCAGCCCCATCTTCAACAGACTTCCTTTCTCAAATCCTTCTTGCTAGCAGCATACAGGGGATTTCTAATGTGTAGCATGTGCATTTTAATCCCTTTCCGTCTCTATTTTAAGCTTATCCTATCTGTTTATGCATCTGGACCTTATATAGTGGATTCCTTTTCAGAAGACAAACACCTAGAGCTGTTCCCAGGGCAGAGGGATTTTTGCAACAGGTCCTAGGTCTGGGTTTTCTAATAATGAGTCCCCGTGGCATTTAGTGAGCCGGGGCCCTGGTCTCTCCACCAGTGACCTGACCACATCGGACTGGGCGGTCACTGACATCCCCTGCAGTGCTGACATGAGCTGGTTCTGAATTTTATGGTTTTTCTTCCTTTCTGAGCTGATCAAGAGAGTAGCTGAGCAGTGCAATGTGACAAGCGGCAGTGCCACCTCACTCCCAGTGGAAAAAGCTGGCTGGGGCTTATGAGCAAATAGGAGTTGCCCAGCTGGAAGACTGCCTATAGATACTGGTGTTCAGGAACAACTGGGAGCCATAGGCTCCACCCGCCTTCCTCAGAATGAAGGGCCACTGTTCTGCATACTCTCTTTTCCAAGATTCATTTTTTTTTTCTTGAAGCTGGACTCAATCATTCACCTTCCTGTGATCCTGTTTGTTGCTCAGACTCTTGTGCTAGCAAAGGCCTTTCCCCTATTCTAAAATTGAAGCGTTTTTATAGAGTGGGAAGGGAGATTGGGGGGAGAAGGGAGGACGAGAGGAAAGAGAGAAAGAGGATGAGATGGGGAGAGTGAAAAGAGAGGCCAAGAGACAGACATAGCATTGGGCTTTGAATACAGGCAGGCAGTGGGAAAGAGGCAGGAGAGGTAGCGAATGAAGGAAGAAGAGGAGGAAGGAACATAGGCAGGGGAGGACACACAGAGAGGAGGAATTATAGTTCACAGAAGGGGAGAGAAAATATAGAGGAAAACCCTTATCTGCAAAAGACTCATTCCAGATACACTTGCTTGGAACTCAGCTTTGACGTAATCAGATAATTGCTTATGACATAAACATTGCACCACAGAAAGCTGCCAGCTCCAGTTTTTGCTTTTTCCTTGACTGGGGGCTGCAGTTGTTGGTATGGAGTTGGAGCTGGCAAGGGATTCATTTGCTTAGCAGATTTGCTTTGCATAGCCTCCAAAGCAGATTCTTGTTTGGGTCAGATCAGGGTCCTACTCCCTTTGGGCAGGCTGGGTGTTCAAACAGCTTCGGAGGGGAGGTATTCCTTTGTTTTTAGATCTTTTTTTTTTTTCACAGAATGGACAACTTTTTTAAGAGTGTATTTTTCATTTATTTAAAGTTGGAGGAAAAAAAGAAAAAATGATAGTATAGTAAACACTTTTACCTGCCATCTAAAACTAAGAGTGTTAGGAAAGTAATTCCAATTAATTTTCTCCCCTTCAGCCCCCTTTTCCCCATTCCAGACCATTCTTGGAGCCTCTGACTCATCTCCTGGCCTCCAGTATGGGCCCTCCACAGAGCTGTGACTTGATCTTTCTAAAACTTAGCTTTGATCCTTTGATCATATTATTCCCCAGATCAAAAAACATAAAGGTTTCCCTGTTGCCTAAAGCATAATATTCAAATATCTGACCGTAGACTTCAGAGCCTTTCAGAGCTTGGCCTTCTGATTCCCTCCTACACACACACACACACACACACTCTCTCTCTCTCTCTCTCTCTCTCTCTCTCTCCCTAACACACAGCATCATACACATCACAACCCTCTCACACATACACACCCTCATACAGCACCACCGCACATGTACGTGCACGCACTCTACACTCACACACACACTACAAACATGCCTTTCACACCTTTGTGAGCACAACGTCTTTTCCTTGTCTGGAGAACACATTCCTGTTCTACCTTATGAACCCTACTCATTAGGAGGGTCACTTGAAGGTTCTGTGTCTTTCAGTTCCCTGGAAATGGAATAACAATATTAGCTGCCATGATTCTTAATACAGTGATGGGAATAGGAACATTGGGGTCCTCTTAGCTACGAGCCCCATTTACGGAGTGAGGAGCATCTTGTAAAAGAGCAAAGGGAGTGTGTCTCAGGTTGAAATCAACTTCAGTTGGGGTTGTGTGTGACACTGGTTGGTTGGGCAAGGTCATGACCATCGCTTGGTGACATTTAGACTCTGTCTTTGCTGGTGGGAGTGCAGGCATCCCGTATCATTAACAGTTGCTCAACTTACAGCCTATGAAACAGCCCTATCGTGGAGGACAGAAGACCTCGTGACACTAGAAAGCCTTTTAATTTATCTAGCAGAGCCCACGAAGTTTCTATCTCAGAAGGGTAGAATTAAACAAGAAGGAATACCAAATAAAGAGTTCATTTGTATTCATAGGATTTAATAAATAAAAACGATTTTTTTTCTGAAACGAACTCCAAGCCATAGGTCTTGAGACTTTTTGTTTAATTAACATGCAGAATATGACTTCTTGTTTCAAAATGATCATTTTTTTTTTTGGAAGCTTGAGCTCAGATCTTTAGTGACATTTTTCCTCCAAGCAAATATTTACAGCCGAGCTGGAAACTGACAGGAAGGAGGGTTTAAAATGAAAATGTTACCAAACTGAAGTTTACATCTGAGTGAAACACATGGTGTCACCATGGACAGAGTCCTAAGGACTCAAAATATTTGTCAATCTGTAGAACTTGAAGAAACCAAGCTGTTTCCTTTGTTAATGTGAACTCTAAAAATTATGTTTTTGCTTATGCATGATGGTGGCTGTTTCTACTTCTTATCTGTTTGATTTAACTATGGTCACGGAACTCCAGCCATGGGTGTTGTCTTTATCTTCTGTTCCAGATGAGGCAGGTTGTCTGAGAGCTAGTGCCAAGGCTCGTTTCTCTGTCTAGTGTTGGTACTTATGCAGTTCTTCCTGCCTGGAACACCTTTCTTTTTCAAATCTCTTCCAAATCCACTAGTCTTTTATTTATTTATTTATTTATTTTATTTTATTTTATTTTATTTTATTTTATTTATTTTTTTCCCACTAGTCTTTTAAAGCTTAGAGTGGGTACCAAGTCCCACATGAAGTTTTCTTAGTTAGCTCTACTAAATATTGATCACACTGACAGTGGTAGGTTTTAAAAATTACTTTATTAATTTTTCAGGTAATATGAATAATACAAGTTAACAATAATAATAAAAATGTGAAAGTATAGAAAAATATAAGGAGTTAGTAAAAATCATTTGAAATTCTCATTGTAATTAGATGAATGTCCTTTCATTTATGTCCTTAGACCTATATACTAGCATTTATGGACGGATATGGTTTTATATACTCTGCCTTATTATGAAGGCTGTTTGCTTTTTGTCCTGGGCATCTATTTTTTAA